GCCAGACTTCCAAATCCAAAGGCAACAATTGAAAAAGCCTGGCCCTTGCCTTTTAGTTGCCAGATGCCCATCACAGGTAAGACTTAAGCCAAATCCAATTCCATACTTTAGAGCAGGGGTGTCCAACCTTTCACTTTCCCTGGGCCACATTAGAAGATGAAAATTTGGTTTGGGCCACACATATATTTGGTTTGGGCCACATGGGGGAGGCAGCCTTAGCCATCCTCCACAGCCCCGCTCCAAGCGCGCTTACCGACAGCTGCTATCTCAGACAGCAGAGGCTGCCAGCTTCAACTCCGGTGGCATTATGGGGCCGGGAGGGGGTCCACCTATTGACGGGGACGGTGCAATGCTGTCACGCATCCCCCTGTCCCCTCCCCTCCCACTCCTTCCTTCCTTCCCTCTCTCCCCCTCTACTGTTGTGACATGCCCCGGCCACATTCCAGCCGCAAGCACCGGCAGTGTAACTCGAAACTTTGGAATTTCTTTAGAAATAAAAAATTGCACTGGGCCGCATTACGAGCTGACCTGGGCCGCAGGTTGGACAAGCCTGCTTTAGAGATTCCGATGTATCTCCTCTAGACCAGCTCTGACTGGACTTCAGGCAGAGATCACCCCATCGTCTGCTGTATTTCAGGGCCTCAGGCAGAGAGGTTACTTGATCCTCTTATCTGTAGATGCAAGGATCACAGGCTGTCATGAAATGCTGGACCTTCTCCTAGGTTATTCATGTAGTGGCATATCAGTGCTCTATAGCAGTGGTCTCCAACCTTGGGCCTCCAGATGTTCTTGGACTACATCTCCCAGAAGCCTTCACCACCACCTCTGCTGGTCAGGATTTCTGGGAGTTGAAGTCCAAGAACAAGGTTGGAGGCCCAAGGTTGAGGACCACTGCTCTATAGCATAGACAGGTCTTCATGCCTACAAGACATCAAGCACCATCTTGGCTGGCTCTTCCCAGTCAAGTCTGCCCTTACAGCAAGTAAGAACTAGGTGAGTCCATTAGTCTTACCTAGTGTGACCTCTGCAGCACCTCTCACAGTATCCTCATTGACTGCAAACAGCACAGGCCAGAGTGGGGAATGGTCTGTCCTCCAGACTTGGTTAGACTACCAACTCAGCAAATGAGAGTTGGAGAAGGGATGATGGGAGTTGCAATTAAGAAACATGTGGAGGTCACCAACTCTGCGTTCCCATCTCCTGAAACAGCGGGACACTATTCCAAGATCTACTTTAATATTGTGTTTAAGGATAGTTTAGATTCTCCAACAAGAGACTTTTGCCATTGCCTTTACCCATATAAGAGTGGTCTTATAGGCCAGATGGGCGGGGTATCAATCAATCAATCAATCAATCAAATAAATAAATAAATATGCATGAATCTGTACGAAAGCAAAATAAATATATATTGCACATTCGCTGCAAGCATCCATTCTAGATTCTAATCTGTAGCAACTGTCCTACTAAATGTTGTAACCAGATGCACCCAAAAACTCTGCCATAGTTAGCTCTCCAGCATTGCTGGTTAAATGGAATGTCAGTTTGCCCAAGTAACTTCACCAATAAAGGGGATAAGTGTGTGCTTATTCTCCCAATTAATGACATTACATAAAAAGGCAATGAGCCAGAGAAATGTGACAGAGAAATGGGCTAGTCTTCAAGAAAGCTTGGGCCAGGTAAAACATCTTCGTCCTAAAAGTGCAGAAGACTCTTCCTTGATTTTGCTACATAGACTAACACAGTTATTACCTTGAGAATTAACTTCTACTGATTTCACGGAGGCATACTCGAAGTCTGATTCTATCTGGATCCTACCCAGTGTGACCCAGAAGTGCTTAATTTTGGCAGCTCTATCCCTGACTTTTAAAACTGTGAAATCTGATTACACTTTAGCCTCCACAGTAAGAAAAACGAAACAAGCACCACTGCCACTTCTGCACCTCCCAACAATTTCTTCATATAAACTTAAGTACCTTCATATCCAATGGATCAGTATCTGTGGTTGGGCAGGCTGTCAAGTCACCTCTGTCTTAAAGTGACCTTATGAATGAGTGATCTCCATCTATAGATCTAAGCACTCTGGATGAAAACCAATTGCTGGTCCCAACTGAAAAGGTCAATTCAACCAATGACTTCTACATCAGTATTGACTTAATAAACCCCATACACTCAAAGGAGCTGCTCTATTTGAGACTAAACAATGGCCCTCAATCATACTTTTAAAAAAACCTCAGTGAATTAATTCACTTTCAGGAACTAATATCCTTGTTTTGTCTACACCCTAGGTTCTTAACAACTGCAATGTACTCAACAGGTGATAGTGAAGGCTTGAAGAAATGTTATGATCTTCTGCAGTTAGGTAGGTAGGTAGGTAGGTAGGTAGGTTGGTAGGTGGGTGGGTGGGAGGAAGGGAGGAAGGGAGGAAGGGAGGAAGGGAGGGAGGGAGGAAGGAAATTGAATTGTAGAACAAAACCTTAATTTCCCTTGCTTGTTTGTGTAAAAATTGGCTTTTCTAATCTACCATCTCCATTAAAAACAAACAAAAATAAAAACCAATTATGAAAATAACTGATAGCAAATAACTCTTTGATATTTCTGCAGTGAGAACATGCAAGTGAATAGCGCTGAGTGACTGAGAGACAGCACGTGACATTTCTTGCTCCTGCAGTCAGAAGCCTGTCATCTCTGACTGTCATATTCATGTAATTTTCTAGCTTTCATTTTTCATGTGATGTTTTGTATAGGTATGTCATATTAATGATTTTATGTTCTTGTAATTTCAGTTTCTTCAGCAAGAATTAAAGATTATTTGGATGGAATCATTCCGATAAAAATATAATAGGAGTGTGTGCATTAACAGATTTACCATATTTTTCCATGTATCAGACTATACTTTTGTCTAAAATCTTTAGACTAAAAATTGAAGGTTGTCTTATACACGGAAGTAAGCTGGGGAGAGAACAAAAACCAGCGGAGGGGAAAGCAGGGATCAAAGCGATCCTGCAATGCTTTGATCCCTTTCCCCCTACACTTGCTAAGCCCCACTTAGATTTCTTAATTTTGGATTAGAAAAGTGAGGGGGCCTCTTATACATGGGAGCATCTTACACATGGAAAAATATGGTAATTTACTTCTCCCTTCTCTCAAAATTTAAAGATCTTTTATGAGAAACTTTAAATGATTATTGTTGCACTTTAGGGTATTACATCTTGAATTATGTCTTGGTGGTTCACAGCAATAAAACATAATTAAAGAATGTCTGTTAAGAACCGCTGGACTACGCATACTTATTAATTGGCTCAAATTATCAAAATATACAGAAATATGCCTTGTAAATGGGAAGAGGAGGGAAATCTTCT